ACTTTGCAACATCACAAATTTGAAATTCTGCACGAATATCATATAAAAGCGATACGAAATTTAAAATATTGTAATAATAACAACCTGACAAACTATTGTTGTAAATCGATAGTAAAGATGGGTGTTAAATAAAAATAAAATCAATGGTGAATTTGCTCAAGAATTAAAAATTATTTAAAAATTTTACACAATATCACAAGTTGTAATCACGAGCCATACTCAAAGGAGAGTGGTCTGTCAAACATATTTATTCAATTATTATTTGCTATTGAAATTTATAACTATGGTGTTGAGTATTACCGTCAAAACAAATTAAAAGCGTGTAAATTACTAGCTAAACACAACATCATCACGCTTTGATCCAACAACCTTGCCGCATTGCGTCACTGCGTTTCAACCAATATTCTCTTCCAACGCAAACTCAGGATTCCGGGACTAAAGGCTTCTTCTTAGCGGCTAGGTTATGCTTGTGGTATTCGTTAATGTGGCTCATCATTACAAACTAAAATGGCAGACTTATTTTGTATCTATATATAGGTTTAAAAATTCAGCAGTGTAGGTGACACTGACTGAAAGAAATTACACCTACTTAACGCGACTAACCAGCACCCTCTTCCAACAGAAGTTTTGTAAACGTCAGTTATAACTAGAAAAACTAAACACAGGAACGTGGGAGGTGACCTTTTGACCTTCGAAAGAGCGCAACTTGAAAAAGTGCGGCCGAGGTCGAACCTTGATACTCCTATTCGGAAAAAAGAAACACTCGATTGTAATCTCACCGCACCGCTTCAACCGCAGTCGGTTTACTCAACCAGACTACTAGCGTAAGAGCAAGGCACGAACGCAAATCCAGATGACCCATCTCGATATAACATCCGTCAATCGCACAGCTGATTTGTTCGCGGACCTACCTCAAGCGATCCGCAAACGACCTCTCTTGACAGAAGAGTCCAACGATAAACGTCCTCGACGATTAAGTAAGATTGTAGAGGTAACAATTAGTTTGTTTGCGTGTTAAACTCTGAAACTGCTAAGCGTAGCTGTCGTAGGGCAGTGCAACAGTCTTGGCTGTTGCACGAATGGGCAAGTCCGTCTGGAGAAGTAAACCACGCCCTCACATAAGACCGGCGTCAAGTGGAAATCTAAGTCACACTTCCGTGTTTCGTCTAAGGTAAGTGAGGTAACCGCAGCCCACTTTATCAAAAGGTGGCAACGCATCGGCAATCCAGAGAGTGATGCAAATGTCAATGGGCGGCGGTTATCACTTAACATAAGGTGAATCGCCAGCTCACTTCTCCCACCTTCTCACATTTTTCACAACCTTTTTTCCGACAATTAAGCGTAGCTTCTTATTTAATTTCCCATTTATTACCAGCTACTCCTACTGTAAATGGTTAAACGTCTTCCCCGTTCTATCCGTGTGTCGCACACGTTACACAACAATAAGTGTCCCCCCCGCATAGTGACGTCACTCGCCCCCGTAATGACGACGAGAATTCCGCGATGCGATGCACGCGCGTGGAACATGACATCACCCGCTCGTGAGCCGCTCAACTAGTTAAACAGTTAGTAACACAGAGATACCTAGTTATTTATGATATAAGATAGGAAAATAACGAGGCGGTAAAAGTAAGATATTAGCCTATATATGCCCACCCGGGTCTCCTCTGTTCAGGGGGTATTAGGGCATAGTCCACCGCGGTGGACTTCACATATCTTATATAAAGAACATCTTAGAAGGCGCTGTACTTTGTTAAATGTTTTCTGCCACCCACGAATATCCACAACCATACCAACGGGTTGTAGTCGAAAGAAGGTGCGCACCGATTCCCTCTCTCACCAGACGTAATGCAAGAGTATAAATACTTATACAGTCGATCTTTTGTGAGTCCATGATATTTCCCCGAAAAGACAGCAGTAGCTCCTGCGTGACCATACCAGGCAGGATACTACACCATACACCTCTAGTACGTGCTATATAAATTTCATCTGAACCACATTAACCATTAATTGTATCAGAATCTTGTAGAATGCAAAACGTGGATACAGTGGCAGTAGTGCAGGACTTTGTGGATAATAAATTTTAATTATCTTCACAAACTAAACATTTTCCAACTACAAAAAGCAACAAGTTATATTTTCTATTTGATGTGATTATTTTAAATTTATTAATTTTAAATAAGACACACGGTAATTCTCTTTAAACATATGCCCATTTCAAACCTGTCCACGTAAACGTTTTAAAAACTAACGACAAATAACATTGACACACCCAAAGTCATGTGACATACTTGGATCGAATCATAGAAAACTAGACAAATTCATCATCAAGAATTCGCATCAAATCACAGACACTAATGAGTAATTTCACAGTGGACAATGTGCATAGCCCATTTTTTCAACTGTCTTGCAATAAATTGCCCAAATAGATGCAACGGCGTCCGCATAGGAGCCAATGCTTGAATTGTGGTTGTTAGCACTGACGCTCGGCGAATGTGCTAAACACGCAACGCGAGGTGCTAATTGGATACACAGACAGTCTGAATGGGTCCGCTTATAAGGCGAGACAGTTTAATACCGATAGGATATTCTTCATACGATCTTCACGTCCGACCAGTTTAATTGACGAAGTTATTGATGAAATAATTATAGTGCAACAATCGACTCTATCAAAAACGTCTACCAACATTGCCGTGTCTGAGCTTCCTAAAGATTCTGTCGACAGTGACGATAGGATCGTCGGTATGCAATTTTATTTTGTGCGAGAAGGTAGGGGTAGGCGCGGGAGTAACAACTGAAGTTAAGACGTCACCCCCAATAGACATCTAGAACTTGCTTCGGCTGTTAAAGATGCGGATGCCAACCTTTAAAAGAGGGCCTCACCAAACGAAGCGCCTAAGTATTACACTCCCACATTACGTAACCTAACCCGAAAAGTTAACCACTGCCCATAGTTTGTGAGAGGTTGCATATTATGCGTTACAGTGACAGCTTAGTGTACCTAATAACTAAAAAAGTGAGCTCCGGTTACATCACCCACCATTCGAAACGTGTAATGATACTTCAATTTCACGTCGGCCCTCAGTGGGGCGATAGTTCTTCTCTGGACGAGCATACCAGTTCGCGTAACAGAACTTTACTGTTCAAGCTACACTCCTCTGGAACGCCCTTCCCGATAAGATCAAAATAGCTCCAAATAAATATAGATTTAAAAAGTTAGTTCTAGAATACCTATTAAATCAGTGATTTTGTTTGGCTTATCCCATGCTCGGTTTTTATTATCCATATATGTACATCTACAATATTTATGTGTATATATATATGTGTTTATATTTATGTATATATTCATCCATACATGTATGTCATATATATGTAGTTTATGATTAATAATATTCATATACATATTCGTATATATCCACACATTATATTTAATTTGATTTTTATGTATATATTTTCCTACTTTTATTTACTTTAGTTTTAGCACCTGCCATCTACTTCTCACCAAAACAAGGGTTGACTGGTAGAGAATGCCACTAGGCATTAAGTCCGCCCATTGTAGCCTTTAGTCTAAGGTGTAACAATGAAGTATAAATAAATAAATGAAATAAATAAAACTTGCTGCGTGTTCAGAAAGAACACCTCTAACCCTTCACAAATACCTATGCTAGCTTGAACTAATTCGAAAATCTTCTAGTCTCGAATCGATGAGACACTAAAAGACATTCAGAATTTCTAGAACGTTCCGGGCGAGCGTTCCAGTGAGATTTATTATATGCGCCGCGAGTGCGCGACGTCATCTCGACGGCGACGCCACTTTCACCTCGGGCGGTGCATAATAGTTACGGTGGCGTACGACGGTGAAATTCTGAAAACGCGGACGTTAATTCGCTCAATAATGACTGCGGACCAACGCCCCCTTATAGGACCACGCTTTCTAATAGACGCAATCGTACAATTGAGATAATGATAAGTTATACAATACGGAGCGTTCGCTCGACGCGTGAACATAAAATTAAACTTCGTTACGAATTTAAGGGCGTTTAAACGGTTACGATTTTAAATAACGATATTCCTTATCACAATAACATATAAAACTGTAAGTGTTTTTTAGAGGTTTTGGCCAACGTCGTACCAATGTCCTAGGAGCTGTCTCTCAAAGGCGGTAGCCTTACTGTTAGGGCCATGACAATATCAGGGGTCACCGCTAATTATAACATTAGTGTAACGATTAAATCATATAGCCAAACCAACCTCTAAATATTCCAGAATAATACATCAATTATATCTGGTTTAAATTTATTGAAGTTACAAAGCAAATCCCGTTATTCAGCCAACACAATTAAGTAAAAATATATTAGTGAAGCGTAAAACGTTAACACAATCACATTCCAAGGTAATTCATAAGTAACGACTGCATTCAGTCAATATATAAGAAAAGATCTACATCCAAGCGGTCAAGTATTTGAGCGCTGTGGGCGCGATATTGAAATGCAGAGCAAAGGTCAAAATGACCTTCGGAATACACGAGCGAGCTATGTAATACACTATAGCGGACCTAGGCAGCTCTGGGAAATACTGTGGAATTCCAAACATAGCTGTCCATAACAGAAAATCGATAGAGTACAAGCTACAAAGTATAGGTTAGCACAAAGTATAGATTTCAGTAGCTCTGATTACAACTGAGGGGAGAGGCGGTACCTTGTGGCAGCCTATTTCAAAACTTTGGGGCGTAATATCCACTATATGTCTGTCTAGACTCCACTACCTTAGCTTTCAGTAGCTGTGATTACAACTTAGGGGAGAGGTGGTACCTTGTGGCAGCCTATGTTAAAACTTTGGGGTGTAATATCCACTATAAATCTGTCTAGACGCCCATCTAGACTCCACTACCGAGTCTAAGTGACCTTGTCCATTCGATAAGAGTTCCAATTCAAAAACAAGCCTCTATCACAAGCTTTGACCTGCAGTGCAGTTAACGCTGTCGTGTCATCACTACGCACCTGCAAGCGCCTGTCGTTGTCCTTTGCCCTCTGCTCGGCCTGTTGAAGCAAAGTCATACGTCAGAGTCATCTGCTCGCTCATACAAACCGTCCTGTATGAAAACATCCGTGTGGGAGCTTATTATACATTTTTATAATAAGCCTTACAGGGTAACAACAGTCGGTCATGCAAAGTTGTTTTTGAAAATTGAAAAATCAAGAATATAATAGAAAAATTAATAACTACAACCTAAACGAGGAAAAGGCCTCTTATACACATAAAATTTTAAATTAAACTCGCACTTATTTTGAATAATTTATCCTATTAAAGGTGTTGCCTGGACATCATATCACATATCTGCTATGTATGGCTCCTGGCCAAATTTTGGTGGTCTAGAACTAATCCTCTTTCTTTCATTACTGTTTTGCTGTCTTCTTTCTTGCAATCTTTGTCTAACTCATCACCAGTCGGTCAGTCAGTCGTGAATCTACATCGTTTGATCACCTTTAAAAACGAAAACTAATACAAAAATACAAATGAATCGTGACACTTTCACCTTCTCTTTCACTCACCAAAACATGATATCGCTATTCATATGTCCAATCTAGCTACTCAGTCTACACCCCACTCCATCCAAGAAGCGACCACATTCAACATCTTGTATCAAGAGCCGGCTAGTGCCACTAACCTACGTGGTAGTAAGAGGAGACGTGACCGTACGTGTTTGATACACTAGCCCAGCAAAGGCGTGCAGTTCGTGCCTTTCGTTTGTCCTCCCTGAGCCAACCCCACCCTGGATGCTCCTGCACCACGACTCCACGCTCTCTTTCTCTTTCACTCACCTGCAACCGTCTGTCGTCGTCTCTCGCCCGCTGCTCGGCTTGCCGCCGGCGCCTGTCTTCATCGCGCCTCTCGCGTTGAGCTTGGGCCGCGGCCGCGTGCGCCCTCAGCTCGTCCAGCCTCTTCCGTTGCTCCGCCTCGCGTCGCTCGCGGGCCAGCCTCGATCGGTCCAGGGCCTCTGACGACACTGCAATTGTAGACACGAGTCAGTCGTGGTAGGGCCACGCAACGGTCTATGCCGTTACACAAATGGGCAGGCAGCAGCAGTCCGGAAGTACACGACCTCACAAAAGACCAGCGCGCAATGGGAGTGAGGAAACCGGGACTAACTTTATCAAAAGGTCTCAACATCAACATCCTGCAACCCTATTGGTGGTGCAGATATCCATGGGTGGCGGTTGTAACTTAACGTAAGGTGCTTACGAGCTGGCTTGCCACCTTCTTACATAAAAAAAAGTTGGGATCCTGTACAAAGTCAAAGCGGATCGCACGAGCGATATCCGCCCCGGGGCAGAGCGAAGTTACAGAACTCGTTCGTGACCCGTTTGTTGTTCCGTTTTATCTAATAGATATCAGTGGCTACCGAATAGCGTCACGAGCAAACAAAATTACTTTCAAGTTAACCGCGCCCGTTCAAGGTGTCAGACGATAGCGGACAGAAGCAACACGATTATGAATGTTAAGGTAAAAAACTTCAGCTCGCAACCCATAAATATAAGCCGTTCCCGGCCTGATGTTGACTTGCAAGCAAAATTAACTGTGGTAGTGTCAGGCAACAGCTTTCAGTGTTGTACGAATGGGCTGCTCCGGGTTAGTGCCACGACCTCACAGAAGACCAGGGTGAAGTGAGTGTTATACTATATTCGTCTGTTGAGTGAGTTAGCCGGACCCACTTTATTAAAGGTAGCGCATCTCTTACACTACAGGTGTTGTAGATGTCCATGATCGGCGTTAATCACTTAACATGAGGTGAATGTTCTTCTCACTTGACAAATTTTCACATAAAAAAAAACCTCTTAAGCTGAGGATAAAACGGATAAAAACCGGATAAAACGATATCACGTGAGAAACCTATAAGTACTTGATTTGTATATAAATGCATACGTAACACGGCTTACGTAAACCCCGAATACGCTCAGCATTTTTACGAGTTTCACGTGAATCAAAACATACTACGAAAATAGCTGTGTTCATCGATCCGCTCTTCGCTGGAACACTAATCGATAAAAATTCAATTATGCATTAGGAGCGTATTTTAAATTAATAACTAATCAACTTGAAACGTTACCCGTTGTTTTATATTTAAAATGACACGTGCTTTGAATGCGTTGCCAACATAGCCATAAGGGACAAATTAAATAATGGCTGTACCGAGAAACTTATTTGTACCTACTCGTAACTTTATCCATTTGTGAAATTATTAATTTGTATACCTATTTAACGAATAAGTTGAACATAGTGTTAGACTGTTCAATAAATGCCTATTTGCAGAATATATAAATATTTTTAGATTTTCATTGAGAAAAAGATAAATATCGATGATAAAGCATCCAATACTTTTGCACGAATAGCAGTAATAATTATTTTTTTAGAAAAACGGGCGACATATTTTTCACTGATCTAACTGATCTAAACGGCTTATCTTCACACCGACGACAATCGCAACTGATTTATCTATTTCGTTTTTTATTACATTTTTAAGCAACGTTTGGCGTCATCTAGCGTGTTTCCTTTACTAGCAAACGACTATTTTTTCATTTGACATTTTTCAATGAAAACTAAAGGTGAACTTTGCTACTAAAATAGTTAACGGATATTATTTTTTATAGTAGTCGTCCTGCTATCGAGTCATCGGTTTAGCTGAGTAGTCGAAAACCATTTTTAAGTGGAAAATTTATGAAATAGGTAATGTTTAAGTTATTTTGTAAGTTAAATAACATTTTGTTATAATTTAATATTAGCAATTTTTTCGGAATAATATAATATATTAGTGTAATCAAGAAGTTGTGTATAATGAACGTAATACATACATTAATATATCCATACTAATATAAATGCGAAAGAAACTCTGTCTCGCTTTCACGACAAAACTCCTGAACCGATTTAAATGAAATTTGGTACACAGATAGTCTAGAGCCTGAGAAAGGATATAGGCTATTTTTTATTGAAAAAAAAAAAAATTAAAAGCTTCAACGCGAGCGAAGCTGCGGGCGATAAGCTTGTAGTTATATAAACACCCAGACACTGGAAAAACACTTTGTTCGTCACACAATATTTTTCTAGTAGCGGGGATCGAACCCACACCCTCTGACGCGAGAGGCAGGTTCACCACTCCCTACGCCGACGCGTTGTCAAAAACTAACCGTGTAGTATTTTTAATTGGAAAAAAGTGTCGTTCAGGGTTGAAAGTTGTATGAAAGTATTGTCATTTTCAGATCAAGAAGCATAAAACTTACATTTATAGGCTGTTGATTAGATACAAATAAATATCAGTATATAATAAAAGTTTGTAAAAATGTTACTACGCGGACGAAGTCGCGGGCACAGCTAGTATATGAATACATATATGACACAATGTTTGTTCCTGCCAATGCTACCCGTATAACTCAGATGGCTCATCATTCAACAGTGAATCATGAAATAGTGTCGTATAATAACACTAGCGCAACACAGAACTATCTAATATCATATTTCATATATAGCAGTACCCATATACAGCATTTGATTATTCATTATCATACAAAATGTATAATTCACGGTCATGTTTATAACATCAATAAACTTGTGTCAAACATTATAGAATAATTTATTATGTATACCAGTCTATACCTTTGAATATATACCTTTGAATGTGAAAAATTTTGATAATTAGGTATAAAGATTTTTTATAAACAAATAAATAAGCAAACAAGTAAATTTTTTTATTAACGAAAAACAAAACCGACTTCAAATATCTCGCTTAGTATTAATTTGATAATTAGACTAGCTGACCCGGCAAACGTTGTCTTGCCGTGTAAATTATTTCTAAGGAATTTGTAGGGTAGAAAACAATATTTGGGGTGGACCACCCTTAACATTTAGGGGGATGAAAAATAGATGTCCGATTCTCCACTCTGGCCGATATGCACACTAACATTCACGAAAATCGGTCGAGCCTTTTCGGAGGAGTTCAATTACAAACACCGTAACACGAGAATTTTATATATCCATTAGATTTTCAGGACTTCCCTACGTATCTCCGAAGCCCAAGATCCAATACCAAAGAAAAGCAAGCGAAGCTACGACCGCATGTAGCAGACGCCACAATGAAAGCGTTTTACGTCGTCACTTCATAGCAAAATAGTCGTAAGTGCAAATTTGCAAATCATCCGTACCATTGCTTAAATTCATCTGTTTTATTTTAGTCACTACTTCCATTGCGTCTTAGTCTATAATGAAAACAAAGAGAGAATATGAATATTTCAATTGTATTTACTGAGCTAGCGCGCTTACCATCAACGGGTGCATCGCCGCTTACCATCAGGTGGGATGGCAGTCAAGTACCTACAGGCCAGTTATGAATTAAAAAAAATATAGTGTTTTGTGAAAACCAAAGTTCTCATATTCGGTATCCGTTTAAGAACAGATGATGATATAAGGAGTGTTCTTAACTCAATATGTGTGTCTTTAAAGACTACATAGCTCTAGTGATATTCAAATATATTACAAATCATCGCTAAAGCTTTTAAACTTTTCTATTCAATTCTAGATACCGAAAAAAGTGGTCAAGATGGAGTCGGACTTGTGCACGAAGGGTTCCGTACCATTACTCATAAAAACGGCAAAAAAATCATGTCTGTTGTATGGGAGCCCCACTTAAATTTTGCATCATCTGTGAAAATCACAACGTCGACTGTGTAAGTATCACGGTTCATGAGATACAGCCTGTTGACAGACGGGCAGACAAATAATGCAGGAAAAATATTCTCGCTCACAAAAGAAAAAGGCATATCAAGCACAAAGCGTACAGTTTTACGGCAGCTGTTGTATCCTTTTACGATCACGGCACATCTGTCAGTCTCACTACACTGAATGCTGGCGAACTGGTATCAGCTACGCTCGGATATTATTTAAGCAAAAAGTGTACCTTCTTTTACCTTGTACTGCTGGCTTTTGATATATCCCATTATACCCTACTATTCCTAAGTAAATATTAAGTCGGTCATTTCAAAAATTCGACACCAGATTTGAGGAATACAAACAAATCAGGAGACACCATATTAAGTACTTTAATTTATTACCCGTTGTGTTTATTGTGAACATGTTTTTAAAATCAAGGAATTTTTTGAAAGACAAGGCCAATTAGTCAACCACTTAGTCAATTAATCTTGCCTCCCAACAAATTCCTTGGGTAACTTTTTATTTATATATATCAGAACGCAGTTGTTTAGATTATAAAGCTATTGATCTGAGGGCGTAATAAAGTCACCTTCATTACGATAACCAAGCTATATTCACCGTTAAATTCCCTAGCGATCTATAATTGTTTTAGCTTTACCCTACCAAGACCAAGGTATCTGCGTATACGACATCTATACACTTAAGTCTTTTCATGCAGTGTTCAACATTCCAGTACTTCAGCATCATTTCACCAGTAAGCCTAACAAGGGCAGACCGGAGCGCCTATACGTCAACCGAGATATCTTAACTCTACACTTAACATTCTCTCGGTTCTCTCATTCTCTCAGAGCAACGCAACAATATTCGCTGTTGCACGAATAGGTAGGCCCGTACGGAGAAGTATCACGACCTCACAGAAGACCGGCGTGGAGTGGAAGTGTTACTATACTACTGCGTTCCGTCTGGTGAGTGAGGTAGCCGGGGCCCACTTCTTTGAAAGGTGGCGACGCATCTGCAACTCTACTGGTGTTTCAAATGTCAATGCGCGGCGGTTATCACCAAACGTCAGACGAACCACCGTATCTAAAATAAACCTGCCAAGTGCGAGTCTGACTCGCGCACAAAGGGTTCCGTATCTCAGCTTCGTAAATGTATAAAAAAAGGCAAAAATTCATGTCTGTTGTGTCGGAGCCCCACTGTAATATATTTTTTATTCTGTTCTGTTATAGTGGCAACGAAAATAAATTATCAGGCAGACAGCGAAGTCTTAGTAATAGGGTCCCGTTTTACCCTTTGGGTGCGGAACCC